CCCCAGCCCTTGCTGTGAGAATCTCTCTGTCTGAAGTAAAGGTCTGTGCATTTGCCTTTCATCTTGATATATTTGAGCTGTCAATGTTTTCTGTCTTTAAACTAACAGGTACCCCCCTACCTGTATTGTCCCCTCCCCAACCTCTTCCATGACCTGGAATTTGTGCAGCAGCTTCAGCTACCCAAGGCTGAGCAACAGCACTTGGCATGAGTCTTCTTGCATGGAACTAATAAAATTGTCCTGGCCACAAGTTGTGTGAAATACTACAGAGCACCTGCAGAAGGGAATTAAGTTGCCCCTCCTGAATTGTTGTTCTCCAATTAATCTTTACACTGGGCACATACATCAATGGCACATAATTCATACATGGTGACAGCAGTGCTAAGAAATGATAAGAAAATTAGGACTGAAGCTGGATTGAATTTTTAAAAAGGCATAAAGCCAGGCATGAATATTTACTTGTTTTCTTTTGTATTGTGCCTGACCTTGGCCCAGGTTTTGGATGCCTCCATGAGACTTGAAATCATCTTGTCAAACCCAAACCTCAGTTTTTTAATGGAGTGTTTGAGAAGGATTTTTGTTCCCTGTCACTTGTTTCAATTTTCTGAAACAACTCCTTGTTTCTTTCATACCATTATCCTGGCCTTTATTAGCCACAAGATCCTAAAGGCATCAAATGCTAATCCTGACTCTGACCTCAGTCTTCAATGGTAGCAGGGCTACGGCACTGCAGGAGATGCAAATGTGTGGTACTGCTGGCTCTGGAAGTCTTGACTGCAGTGTAAAACCAGCAGTGAGGGGAGAACTGTGGCATTTACTGGATATTAATGTTGATGGATACGTGACTGCAAAGGCATGCTGTCAGTGCTCAGCAAAGGCTTGGCACTCCCTGCTCAGAGTGCCAAAATTAAGAATCATTGACCTGTCTGTTTTCCTTACTGCAGATATCAGGCAAGGTATCCAGTATGGGTGGTAAGGATGACAACTGGGCACACTGCTGCAAAGGAGACATTCTTCCCTGGAGTGACACCCCTATTCAGTGTCTCACTGAGACAGATAACTTAAAACAAGCAGCCCCACTTGTAAGTGTAAGGTAGATTTTGCTGCCCAGCCCATGTGCTGCTGAAGGACTGGTGCACAGCTTTAGCTGAGTCTGCTGTGCAGAGCAAGTTTTTCCCTTACTTTTGGGTAGGTTTTAACCTGAAATATTTGAAGTGATTACCTTATACAAAGTTCAGAGTGATACTTCAGGATTGCTAGTTCTCCCTCTGGAGAGGAGTGCCTTCCCTGTTTGTGTTTCCAGATTATCTGAGCTCACCTCACATACCCAGTTCTATCGCTGTTTTAGAGGGTACAGGTTGAGAATGAGTTCATTATCCCACTCCTTAACTTTCTTGCAGCAGCAAAACGTGGCATTGTCAGTAGAGAGTATGGCAGGTTCTTGTAGGTTAACAGCCTGAGCACACAGGGAAAATGTGGCACTTGTGCTCATGGATACCAGATCAAAATAGTACCTCTGAACTAAAAAGGTCGAGGGTCTAGTCCCAGTGCAGCTGACTGCAGGTTTAGCATGAAATGATGTTGTCCCTTCTGCATGTTAGTTTTTGAAGAACATGCTTAACTCGTTGGGGTTTGTCTATCCTTTTAAGTAAACTTTGTGCTCTCAGGCTTTGTGGCAGAATTCATTCTTCAGTGATTTCACGAAAGCTTCATGGTTAATATGACCATATGTGGTCTGATTATCCAACTGCCTATGTAACTACCACATGTTTTCTCCCAACCTGGTTGCTTATTTACTGTTCCCTCTGCTAGGCTGATGATGCCACCTTAATGGCCCTATTCATCTTTTTTTCCTTCCACAAGTGTCACTGTTCCTGTTCTCACTTTTTATGTGACATGCTCCATTAAGTCGTTGCCTTTGCCATCAAAATCCTTTCTCAAACATTTGGGTTCTTCCAATACTGCTGAGTCCATTTTCCCTATTTGTGCACTTGTACATGATCATCTCGCTCCTTGATGATCAACACGACCAACTCAGTTATGGCAATGCACTTTCTGAGGCCTTTCTAATAACTAATGGTGTGAAACAAAGCTGTGTTCTCGCACCAACCCTATTCACAATCTTTTTCAGCATGATGCTCCAAAGGGCTATGGCAGACCTTGAGGATCAGGACGGTATCTACATCTGATACCATACTGATGGAAGCCCTTTCAACCTAAGGCGACTGAAGGCCCACACCAAGACCTTAAACCATCTTGTCCGGGAGCTGCTTTATGCTGATGACGCCGCCCTTGTTGCCCACACAGAAGCAGCTCTGCAGCATTTAACATCCTGATTTGCAGATGCTGCTGAGCTCTCTGGGCTGGAAGTCAGCTTAAAGAAGACAGAAGTTCTCTATCAACCTGCACCTCAGGAAGTCCCCCATCATCCCCACATCACTATTGGCCAATCAGAGCTCAAATCAGTCCAGCAGTTTAATTACCTGGGTAGCCTCATCTCCTTGAATGGAAAGATTGACAGGGGGATAGACAACAGGTTAGCAAAGGCATACAATGCCTTTGGAAAGCTTCATGAAAGAGTTTGGTGTAATAAACACTTGAAGAAAAGTACCAAGATCAGTGTTACAGAGCCATAGTGCTGTCTACTCTTTATATGGATCTGAATCATGGGTCATCTACAGCCACCACCTGCGTCTCCTAGAATGCTTCCATCAACGCTGCCTCTGTACAATCCTAAACATCCGCTGGTCAGTTTATGTGACCAATCCATCTGTTCTAGAACAGGCACAGTCACAAGCATTGAGGCCATGTTACTGAGAACACAGCTGCGATGGGCCGGGCACGTCTCCAGGATGAAGGACCAACCACCACCTCCCTAAGATCCTGCTCTATGGTGAACTTGCCACCGGCTGCCGCATGAGAGGAGCCCCGAAGAGAAGATACAAGGACTCCCTGAAACAACATCTCAACCTTGGCCATATTGATCACCATAACTGGTCTACTCTGGCCTCCAGTTGGAAGGTCTGGAGACACACCATCTATAACGCTGCTGATGCCTTTGAGAATGCACGCAGGATCACTCTCGAGGAGAAAAGACAGCGCAGAAAGAATCATGCCTTGCAGAATTTACCACCTATGGAGTATTTCCTGCTGTGCCTATTGCAACCGGACATGCCTGTCTCATATTGGCCTTTTTAGCCATCAATGCGCTTGTAACAAACGTGGGTAGAGACCTTTCCCTAATCTTCGTTCGCAAAGCCCAGCCATGATGATGACAGATGAGACGGCATGTGTTGAATCACGACAAGGTGTCATTTAGAGGCACAAGAAGTGACCCTGCTTTTGACTGTCCACAGCAGGGCTATTCCTAGGCTTGCATTCTTACTAACGGCTTCCTCTCAGTTTGCCTGTTTCATGTACAGCAGAGACTGTGTTTGACCTTGTCTGATGTACTGTGGCACTGCTCCTGTGCTCCCTGGCACAGCAACAGCCCTGGGAAGAACCAGGGTCACTGACTTCAATGGCTTGTGTCCCTGGAGTGCAAGTGGTGTAAAGTAACTGCAGAGCACTAGCACTTCTGTTGCACAGTTTGGTGTCAAAGTCTCTTGTTTTGACACCAAGAAATTGAAACTGGAGGTTTTGATAGAGTGAGGAAAAGGTGGGGAATGACTGGTAAAAAAAGAACCTTGCAGTGCTGGTGGTTGATATATCTCATGATGCTTCACAGGTACTTGGGAATTTTACCTTTATTGCAAGCTCCCCAGGGGAAGCTGTGGCTGAGTTAAATTAACATCCTCGAGCACTGTCCTGGTTAACCAGTGCCCATGTTTTGCCTTGTCTGTATGTGATTGTCATTGACCCACTGCTTCTGAGTGCCAGGAGGGCTCTTCCTCCTCTGTTAGTGCAGGGTGAGTTATTGGGCAGCTGCCACCCAGGAATAGCTGTCTGAGGGCAGAGTCATGGTGAGTGGCAACTGAGGCTGTTTTCAGACAAATATTGTCTGCACTCTCACTTTTGTCCTTGAGAGACTGACTGGGAAGCCACTTCTTTCTGCAGTTGGTTGAAAATCACATCAAACAAATGTGCTTAGTGCTATCCTGGGGAAAGTCAGTTAGCCAGCACTAAAATAAATGTGGAATACTTTGACCAATCTGGCGTGAAACAAGAACTACCTACAAAACTATGTCTGAGTGTGTCTTGTGAGTAGGGTTACAGCAACACATAGTGCTAGAGACATCGGCATTCGAGGTGGGGATGGACAGGCTAATGCTGGAGTCTGTGCTCATCCAAAGGCAGATTCCAGGTCCAACACAGTGGAGGCTGCTTTGCCAGTCCAGTTCAGACAGCAGTCCTGCAGTGTGCATGCAGGCTGTCTGCAGGCTTGGTGTAAGAGCATTTTAAGTATGTTGCCCTTGGTTTTAGTTTCATGGATAATTTTAGAAAGCATATGCCTGGGTCTCTAATTTCCAAATTACTGCTGCTGTTTCCATATGTCAGATGGTATCTGTTCTTTCCTGACAAAACTTTCTCATTATCACCACTGACACTCAATACTTTTGCTCCAATGTTGCTTCTTTTAGTTCCTGGGAAAAGTTGCAGAGCTTGCTCTGCTGGCTGATGTGCCAGTGGGAGGGGAGGTGGCAGTGGGAGCAGAGGCACTTCTGTGGGTTTGTTGCTTTCTTTCCTATTGTTATAGAATGGCAATATCCATACTTCAGCACAGGATACTAAGGGGGTGTTGAGAACGTCAAAAGTGCTGAGTTCAAATGTAGAAGTTTGCAAGTGAGGTTTTAGATGTGTAGTAGGCAAATACAAGCTGAGATATTGGTGTTCTTGACTTCAGTTGCTCGCAGTCCATGTGCAGATGTTAATTTGAGTTCACCCTTTCAGCCCCGCTTCCATCTTAGTGCTGCCATCACCTTTGTTTCCATAGCAACCAGAATGGGGGGGAGTGGGGTGTGTGCATACAGCACAACGGCCCCCAGGTGACAGTTTGGGGCCCTGGAGTGCCCATCAGCCAGCAGTGGGCCTGCCTGGGAAGTGCTGTTTGTTCATACTGCAGGAGTTTAAAGAAACTACTTTAAACCTCATTTTCTGCATAGTCAGAGATGGAGCTGGAATCACAGAATATTCTGAGTTGAAAGAGACCCATGGGGATCATCAGGTGCAACTCTGAAGTGAATGGCACATGTAGGGATCAAACCCACATCCTTGACGGTATTAGCACCATGCTCTAACCCACTGAGCTAATCTCTGGACCTTCAGGTAAAGTGGTCTAGTGCCCCTTCTAAATGTCATCAGAATGCAAGTACCATGGACTAAAATCTTCCAGTTGGCATATCTGCATTAAGCTGGATCGTTTTGGGAAGCTTCAGCAAGAATGGTGCATGTATTTATACAGGTACTGTTTTATTAACTTTTCTTTTAAAAAGGTGTAAGACTACTGAGCTGTGGACTAAAACAGGATGTTTTGGTTTAATGGGGTGGCCTCTGCTCCTGTAGGGAAGCGCCATCTGAACCTGACCAAGTGAGAGGTCTTTACATGCTCTCCAGTCTTGCAGACAGAATTGATTTGGTTTGGTAGCTGCCTCCCAGTTCATCCTGGCAATGCGTGGGCTTAGTTCCAAGGGTACATAACCATTTCCCCAGAAATGTGTTTTCCCATATCCTTTTCTAGTGGCCAAATGACATCCAGGAGCTCTAGAGGATGAGCATGGCTGACCTGTAGAAAGGATAAAAGCTAAATGGAGAGATGGGAAAAGAAAACTAGGAGTGAAGAGTCTCATGACTTGGATATTTGTATATCCATTATCTTTCAGTCGGTTCACAGAGTCCTAAACATCATCTTAAGCCAGGTTTGACGATGTATTGTTCTATGTCAAGAACCAAATATCACATCAAGAGGTTTGAAAGCTGGTGTTAGCTGGCTGAGATGAAGCTCTGGAGTGCATTATCTTAGGTGCAGAGTCTGTTTTCTATACACAGAGTAAAAGCGCCTCATACCCCTGTTTTATTGTAAAAATAATTTGTTTGAAGTGCTTGGATGCAAGAGCTGAGCACTGCAAGAGGCTGTAAAGAAATATTTTTCTTTAGTGCACTGCTTTGAGCAGTGTGCAGTAAAGAGGAGCACGGGGTAAGTACAGGTCACAACAGATGTAATGTAATATTGTCATTTATTCTGTGTCTTAAATGAGACGGGGAACTTCTGGGGAAAAGTAAGATGTGATCATGTAATTAGACTATCATCATACAGTCTTTTCAGGAAGCAATACAAAAGCTCAATGGATCTCTGAACTATTGGACATGTGGCTTTGAAACCTTGCTGAAGTGTTTTTAATATAGATAGGTATGGTATAATACCTCGGACTGAAATAGCCCTGGGTGCTAGGATTGACCTTTTAATTGCTTGTTCAGCATCTCTGCGCCAGTTAAATGTGTTATTTCTATAGGAAGATTAAAATAGAGTGAAGAAGCAATTTCCAGAAGGATTTTGAGCACTCTTTGATGGGGACTTCAGTGCTTTTGAAAAATATCTTAATGTAAGTAGTTTTCTCCTCTTTGCAAATATCATGATGTTTTGGCATTGTGGGGCAGTAACCTACACTGCACTAATTTAAGAACCAGATGTAAAACCAGACTCATACAAAAGTTTGCGGGAAACCTCTTTTGTGTAGTGTGTTGTGGTCAGATGTGTGAAGAAAAGCTGTGGAATGTGGGATATGCCATCATGGGCTCTGCTGTTCAGCTCTGCTGATTAAAAGAGGGTTTATGGATATTTTGTGGCTGAGCACTCTGCCTGTGCACCGATTATGGATGTTGTATGAATGTTTTGAGATGGAGCAGAAGGAAGAGGTGGGCTGAGTTGAGAAAATGGGGTCACAGGAATGTCTAGTGTACAATACATAGCAATGGGTCCCTCCTTGGGGAAGAAAGGATTGTCAGTTGAGGACTGCATCTCTAGCAACAGCTCCAAGGGAAGGAAATGTTTTCATTGTGTCTTTCCTTAAATAGTCACTATGGTTTGGGGTTGAAAGAAGATTGTTGAAAGATGAAGTTTCCCCCTTGATTTTTTTTTTTTTAACTTTAAAAGTATATTGAAAACAGGCTTTAAAAATACCTGGTGTCTACATGTGTGCGCACACCCCCTCCTCCTCCACTTGATTGTCAGAGGGAAAAGCTCCAGGTTTTGCAAAGAAATAACACCAGAGCTGACAATGCTTTCATTGCAAGATGCCCATTATTTTCAATGTTTTCACCTGGTCCCTTTGAAATTGTATGTCACGGTCTAATCCAGGTCTCATTCTCATAGTGTGTCCACCACTTTCAGACAGTCCCCACTCTTTCCATACCTGTATCTCCCTGCTGTTCTTGAGCCATAATTAGCATCCTGTAATGCACAGTAATGGGATGAGTCATATCACCTGCTCTTCAGTGCTCAATGACACCATCCCTCAGAGCTGTGTTTCCAGTTTGCTTTTCTCAAAGTTCTCCAAACTGCTGCTGTGTTACCTTGAAATAATTGTCTGATTGTAAATGAGGCTACAGTGGTGTAGGTGAAGGTTAATTTAATTTTGTGAAAGGCTGAAATGCAAAATTATGACAAGCAAACAGACCTGGTAGTTCTTGTATAGCTTTACAGTGCCTTACACCTGCAAGGGAGGTAAGGGGCAGGGGTGCTGCCAGCCCAGCTCTTCTCCCTCATCCTGTTCTGTTGAGGGCAAGGGAGACTCCAGCCTCTTACAGGCTGCCCAGGGAAGTGCTGGAATCACCATCTCTGGAAGTATTTAAAAGGCATGTAGATGTGGTGCTTAGGGAACAGGGTTTAGTCCATGGTTTAGGATTGGTAGTACTGGGTTGGACTTGATGACCTGAAAGGTCTTTTCTAGCCTACATGGTTATATGATTCTACCTGAGTGAGGACAACAGGACTCAACTGATGAGCTTTTCTGTTATACAGGCTTGCACTTCTCTAGATCCTAGATTTGTGATAACAGATTTGCTACACAAAGAAGTGGATCTGTTTGCAATTCAATTTGGGTTTACTTAGACAGTCTTGCATAAGCTCATTCTGGCTTTATGTGGCTATAAATGATGCTTGGCATTGTAACTGGCACAGGAAGGACATTGCAGCAGAAAAGATGTAACGTTTTTTCTGCCAAGACATGATTTTTGAGAAAAACAGCAGGAACAGAACATTTGGCAGCCATTCATTGTGACTTTAAAAAGTGCAGATGTTGGGAAGTGCTTTTGGAGCAATGTTTTTGTAATAGTTCTGCACAGTATGAGCTGCATCTGAACTACTGAAGGCTTTGTGAGTTTGTTTTGTAATCTAGATTCAGTTCTGCATCTTTTACTGCACCAACTAGATTTTTATGTCAGTTTGACACATTTGAAAGTCTTTCAGGCCTCCATGTGGTCTGACCTCCAAAACTGAGTGTTGTGTGCATAGACCTGACCGAAACATCTCACAAGGCTGGGTTGTCCTCTTCTGTGAAAGTTATTTTGGGTTCTCCCCAGCTGTGAAACCTGGGGAATGAGAGAAGAATAGAGGAACCCTTACCCCCCTGGTTCCTTTTTCCAGGGTGAAAAGGCTGGAAAGGGCTTCCTGGGGCTTTGCGGTTGGTTCAAAGGTTTTTCCCAGCTGAGGCTCTGCACAGGCACCTGGGTTTTCAGTGGAAGTAGAGGTGTTGTCAGACCTACTGATCATGTCCTTAATGAAGTGCATAAGGGAAGCTGCTGTGGCCATCAGGGTTACCTTGACCACCCATGAAGTTTTGTGGCTGGAAGGGTCCACAAGTGCTAAACCAGCACAAGCCCCCAAGAGTTCAGTGTCCCCTCCTAAGGTCCCAGTGCAGTAAGTCTCCAGCAAGACTGAACTAGAAGATGGAATTGCAGGAATATGTGATATAACAGACTAGAGCTGGAGCCTACAGGCTTTAGTATTTACTGGCTAAGAATGTTGCTGGCTGTTTGAGGGAAGGCCACTGACAACACCATTTTTTGTGCTCATTTTCTATGCTGCTACTAATATTTGAAGTTCTGGAATTCAAAACTAGAGTTTCCCTTGGTATGAAATTGTCTAGGTGGTGTGAAGCTGACTACAGAAATCCAGTGCATCATCAGAAAGAGAGGTTTCTTTTTTTTTTCAATGTAATGCATATTTACCAGTCAGCATGTCTGGCAGGCTTTTAGCAGTAAATATCACTTGAAACCAACTGCTAGAATCCCTGGCTGTACTAACAGAAAGGAATGAATGGAAAAGGGAACTCACATTCAAAATCCTTCCAGAGTAAGTTATTAAAAATAACAAAGCTGGAGTAGGACTGGGAACAGGCTTATCAGCACCTGGAGAATGATGAATTTCATGATTGCTAAAAGCTGTTTGTTCTGTTGTAATTAATGCTAGTATCTGGCACATGCTGACCTTGGAAGTGGTCAGTGGTCCCAATAAATGCTTATTGGGAGGAAGCTGACTCAGTTCTTTGGGTGTATAAACCTGGGAATCTCAGCTCTGAATAGTTTTGACAGCTATCATATGCTACCTTCTCTGACTTGACTCCCCATTGTCTTGTTTTTCTTCCTTCTGTCAACCTCAGATACAGAAATTTATGTGCAGAAATGGTAACAGATAATTTCTACAATTTTTCTATGGAAAAATCACAGATCCTATTGGAGAGAAGAAAAGTCTTACTGAAGGACTGGCTGGGAGGCAGGTCTTGAGTTCAGCCCTGGGCTCAGCTAAGGGCTTTGTGAGTAATCTAGAGGCAAACTGGTTAATCTGTCAGGCTAATAATGCCTCCTCTAGACACACAGCATCAGGGATCTGGAGGCCTTGATTTTAACTTGGAAAACCACTGTATTTCTACAGGAAAAGCAGCAAGACAAGACTAACAGATGGAGCACAGTGTTTCTCAGAGTTTGACAGGGCAAAGCTTTAGTCATTTGGGGGACAGGAGGAATGAAGGCAAGAGCAAATGCACTCACATAATCTCCTTTTTTAGCTCTGCTCAATTGGGGCATCAACTGTATCTGCTTAACCTCTGCAGCTGAGGGCTCCTGCTTGAGCTCAGGCAAGTCGTGCTGTTTTATCACAGAGGAGTTCTTTGAAGTTGCTCTTGTGTCTGTGTGTCAAGGTGATTACACTGCAGTGCATCCAGCTGAGATAGACTTCAGGGGCCAAAAAAGTATGGCAGTAACTACTTTAATGCCTGTATCTGGTCTTGACCAGTATGTGCTCCAGTTACTGCTCAGTGTCCTGCAGCTAC